CCATTTTTCTCCTAGAAATTACACTGCCAAAAATTTTTGGCTAGGCACTGTACATCCTGTGTGAGTACTGTCCATCACAGGAGAAGCAGAGAGGAGGCCTTTCAGGGCATCCTCCCTCCCACATATAAATTTGAAAAGACTCTGCCCTCTCCCTCTCTCTAACTGTCCAGACACTTCAACAACTCTTGTTGAGCACAGTCAGATCAGTCCAACAATCATCTCACCCTTACTTTCTTCTCTTCAATGAAGCCACAACCAAGCATGTGGTTGTATAGTGATCACACACACATACAGACAGCTAGAAAAAAAAAACCACATGACCTAGACACACTTTCACATACAGGCAGGAACTCAACGTGTTTGTAGTACAGCAACCAACCATCACCTTACCTCCACAACAATCAATTAGTTGGTGCATCAATGGGTACGTCTCAGTGAGAAAAAAGAGACCTGTCACTGGGAGTCGAACCCAGGTTACCAGGACACACTCGGGGTTTCAAAACCTGGTGTCCTAACCACTAGACGATGACAGGTTGGATACAGAAAGCACATTACCCCTCATGACTCAGTCCACAAATGTTCCCACAAATCTCGCGACACTCTGCGGGTTTACAACTGATATAAATTGAAACAAAAAGGGAAACAAAAGAAGAGCAGAGCGGAAAGAAAGAAAGAGGCTCAGTCCCACTCAACGTTAGGACTGAAGTCGGGAGAGACAGCAGCGGTAGCGGGGGGATTAGGGTTAGCGGAAGGGGAAGGGGAGGAGGAGAGCAGCATGGGGTCGAGGTTCGCCAGTTCGTCGCGGATAGCGGCGCGCGCCATGGCGTCGATTTCTTTGGTTAGGATCACGATCAATTTCTATATGACCACATGTCAAGTCGAATAATAAAAAAAAAAAAAGAAGAAGAATAAACAGAAAAAGAGTGAGTAAATGCAGCACAGATGGGGTTGGTTTCAGGGGACAGAGAGAGAGAGAGAGAGAGAGAGGAGAAGAAGGTACTTTGAGTTTAGAGTCGATGCGCGAGATTAGGTCGATGTGGTGATGGTTCAGGAAGGTTTGATGCACGCTAACGATGCTGTAGTTGGATGATGAGCGGGTGGGGGGCGGCGGCGGGACCTGGATGGACGCCGCGGTCTGCGGGCCGGCCGACTCGACTGATGGTTGTACTTGGCCGCCCGAGGCCAAGGCCGGCGGCAGCGGGCCGGCAAGGCTGGCAGGGACGACGGGGTTGCCGATGACAGGCGAGGTGGACGACGAGCTACCAACCGTGGTGGCGGTGGTGGCGGTGGTGGTCGTGGTCGTAGTCGTGGCGGCGCCGGTCCCGGTACCGGGCATAGAGGTGGTAATGAACTTGATCATCTTTTGATACACTTCCACCAGCATGTCGCTCAGCGTTATCCAGACCTCGAAGTAGTCCAAATCGAACGGCTGTCAATCATGCAACCTCAGCTTCTCCATCCCCACATAAATGTGTGTGTGTGTCCACTCATGCTTACTATGTTCGGCGTGTAAATGAAGGACGGGTCGCCCGCGTCTTGCAGTGTAATCGAGTAGTCCGTTCCGCCCGCTGACTTCCGTGCCGACTTGGACGACTGCTTAAAGATCCCTTTCTGTACACAATCCGTCTTATCAATTTTTTGTGTTTTTTTTGATCATGATGATGGAGAGAATGTGAGAGAGAAAAGCTCACTGAGAGACCGGTGATTTTAGGCTTAAAGTTGTCGTTCGGAATGGACTCAAATTCCTGCAGCAGGTTGACCATCGCTTTGAGGAAGTCTTGCAGGTTGTTGATGTCGAGTAAGGAGGATAAAGAGAGGCCCAAGATGGCGAATTTGGTGGTCCTAGTGAGTCGAGAGAGCATTTTGTAAGTGAATTTTGATCATATGAAGGAAGAGAGTGAGGGTTTTTCTTTTTCTTTTTTTTTTTTTGACCTGGTCATCATGCGTTGATGGTCGAACCATTTTTCGAGTTCGGGGCGGGAGAGGAGAATGGTGTTGAACCAATGGACTTTGCCCTCGTGGACTTTCTTGATATAGACGAGGGTAGTGATGCGTTTATGAGCGAGGGCGAGAAGGGATTCGACGGTGTTAGTGGTGGTAGTGGAGGAGGTGGAGGTGGAGGATGCCGAGTTGGAGATGTTGTTGGTACTACTGTTGCTGTTGCTAGGCGGGGTGGTTGCGGATGGATGGTTGAGTGTGGTGTTGGATGTGGGCTCGCATAGCATCGAGCCATCCTCCTCCGCAATGGAACGGGCATAGGTGGGGGTATTGGAGTTCAAGAGCTGTGTGCTGCTGCTGACGGAGCTGTGATGCTGATGGCTGCTTGGATTGCTGGTGCTTCCGCTGAGGATTGCCGATGGCTTGTGGCGGATGGAGCGTGAGGAGAGGGAAGACATCTTCTTCTGGATGTTCGACTCGGCCATTTCCTTAAGTTGTGGTTCTTGCTCAATTTTCTCAGAATAAATAATATCGACAAGAGTCAACAACAATACAATGCATTCTCATTTACACTGTCCGAGTCTCTCTTCTACTCACTCAGGAATAGTAGATACACTAACTATTAAATCTTAGTAATTTGTAAAGAAGAATGGAAATAGGATTCTTTATTTTTCAAGTCTTAAGGAACCAAGCCAAGCCAGAGTAGGCGAATCTGCGGCCGACCAAGCCGAGGAGCCAAAGAGTCTTAGTACGGAGCGAGAGCATGGGGAGTCGGTCGAGCAGGATCAAGTCCGAGGGGAGACTGATGAGCGAGGCCGAGCTGAAGAAGTACGGCAGGTTGACCAATGGCGCAAGTAGCTGGTGGTCAATCATGGGCCGATCTTTGGCCGGGAATTCTCGGAGAATCTCCGCCAGGCCTGTGGTATCTGATCTGTATAAATAAATGCAGAGGTATATCAGCTCGGATTGATTTTTCTTTTTCATGAATGCTTTGATTAGCTGGCTGACGGTTTGAGTAGGAAGTATTGGTCGAGTTTGAGCTTGGCCAGGTATTCTTGAACGTCCTCCTCGATACGGGCGCTCAAGGAGCGCTCCAAGACGAATGAGACGAGGCCGTCGAGGAGGCTGATGAGGAGCCAGGTGAGGAGGCTCATCACCATCAGGTTCTGCATCTTCCGACCCGCCCTCAGTACCTCCCTCTCCTGCTCTGCTTGTTCTCTGACATCACCATCAAGTTCTGGTCCTCCTTCCTCAGGATTCAGTAGCGGCTCTGTTCCTCCTTCTATCCGGCGTCTGAGGCTCGTTCGTAACGGTACGGGCTTGGTTGAGAGGAGGTAGAAGATGAGGAACTGGCCCAAATAGTTGACCAAGTCGAATGCGAGCGAATGACAGATACCAGATGTGAAGTCAATCTTGAAGTACCTATAAACGGTCGAAACTGTGGAACAAGATCATCATAATCAATTCGGGGAGCCAGTGAGAAGCTACAAGTCATCAGACGGACGAAGCGGGAACTTGAGGAGATGCAAGCACGCGCCAAAGGAGGACAGGCTGGAATGAGAGAGGGAGCCGATGAGGATGGATTCGTAGATCATGTGGGGGAGCAGGGTGAGCAGGGAGGAGTGTCTCAATGGGAGCGAGGGTAGGCCAACCGGCAGGTCCTCGCTCGTCATTGGCTGTCCATCGGCGTCCCGCTGCGGAAGAAGGAAGTGGTTCAGGGCCGCCGAGTAGACGATGGCTAGTATCGTGTTCCGTATCCTCCGACTAGTGCCATTCTTCCCGGCTGTATTGAGAGCTAAGGGCATCCTCTTCTCCTCCTCGCCATCCTTCGTTCGTATTACGTTCCTTCGCAAGACATTCGTCGACATACTTTGTTTAAAAATTGTTTCGAGTTTATTCTTGTTGGTCGAGTTGCAGAGGAGGGAAATCCGAAAACACATAAACCCCCTTTATGGCTCCACTGGCGCCCTTCCCTTCATTATTAAATTTATTGTATTTCCAGAAATCAAGATCACAAAACACGACATTAAAAAAAAGGAGTTGATGAAGAAGAAGACAAAGAAAGAAAGAAAGAGATACGAATACAGAACTAGCCAAAAGATGATGTTCCTCGTCACAACTAGATGGCGGGAGCAGGATGCACAAGGATTAGCGGCTGATGGAAGAAGGTACGGAGTAAGAGCTGCAGCTTCTCCAAGTGGGTGACGGCAGCGGGGCCGAGTCTCGCGGCGAGGGAGTGGAGAGACTGGGCGAGCTGGAGGGGAAGCGAGCCGAGGGGCGTGTAGGCCAAATGGAACCGCACCACCCGCACCACTTGGTCCATCACACTCGGAGGAAACACTCCCACCATCTGCTCCAGCACCCCGGCCAGCGCAACCTCCATCGGCGAGCCGCCCCTCTTCAAGCAGTCTACCTTCTCCATCTGAGTCGCGTATCCACCTACAAAACACTCTTCCGTCTTCTCAAGGGCCGTCACCCCATTTCCTTTTGTTTGAATCCATGCGTTGTGGCAATCAGCTTACATATCTCCATAACACAGACTTTATATCCCTGCTCACCTGTCAGCGAAGATGCCACCGAAACCAGCACCTCATGAATCAGCGAAAATAACTCGCTTTGGGAAGGCACAAGGCCACCGAGAGATTGGTCCATCAGCTCAAGAATCTCTTCGATAGTCTACATTCCAGAAAAGAAAAGAAAAGAAAAATCAAGCTCGATCACATATTGTATCGTTTTTGGGGAGAAAGAAGGTCTCGAGTACTGCAGACCTTGGTCGAGAAGATCCCAAGGTATTGTTCCAGGACCAGGTTGATCAGGGACTTGATTCCTGAGACGGTTCTTCCAGCCTGGAGAGAGAAATGGAACATGAAACAAGCAAGAGTTTTTTTGGGAGGGTATAAATAGCCAATCAAACAAGACTAGTGATGTGGAGAATGAAGTGACTCACGATTCCGACGCAGCTGGCGCCAGGAGGCAACCCCTGTAGTTGGAAGACACTGGAGAGACAGGCGAGAAGGTCATGGCGGCCGCCGTTGCCGAGCTGGTGGAGGCCGAGGGCCGAGACGGCGAAGAGATCCGACAGCGCCTCGCCAAGCCGGCCGTCGGCTGCTTGGAGGGCTATCAACGGCTTCAGTCCCATCATCAGCTGCGGCAGTCTCGAACCGTCCAGGAAGCCTGCATCCGCGTACGACCTTAACGCTCTCTCTAGCCCCCGCTCCGTCGCGCCTTTCTCTTCCTCCGAGTGCCCCTTCAACGTTGATCCATCTTCCCTTCCGCTCAGCCACCCCAGCTCATCGCTCTTAATCCCCGCCCCTGGCACCGCCACACAGATACTCTTCACTATCAATAGCCCAGTCATCATCATCAGCCCCAGTATTATCTTCATGGCTTTTTGGTTAATCGCTTTTTTCGTGACGATGTTGAGAGAATCTCCGGGATTATGAATTCGCTGTTTGCGGCCACGTCGTGTGGTGTGATAAATTTCACGGTAAGCAATCGTACGGTTGGGAGCGAGAGAGCTGGTCGAGCTCAGAGTGATTTTGAAGGAATGGAATGACAGATGATGGTTATTTGTGGGATACGGTGTTTCCCTTGA